CACTTCCCTACTCAGTAAACTCCATCGCTGCTAGGAGAAAATGCAGATTCCTTTGTTTGGCATTCAAAACCCTTCATAACCTAGCCTTTCCAGTCCCCGATATATACTCTTCAACCTACCCTCCTGGCTGTTCCACACACAAGACATTCTGTCTCTTGACTCTGGGCTTTTGCTCAGGCTTTTCCCCTAGTGCCTGGAATGCCCTCCCTCTTCTGGTCTGTCAATCTACCTTGCTTCCTTTAAATCCTAATTAAAATCCCACCTTCTTACAGGAAGCTTTCCCTAATCCCCACCCCACCCCCACTTAGTTCCAGTGTTCTTCCCTCTTTTAGTTATTTCCTGTTTATCCTGTATATAGCTGGCTATTTATATATTTGTTTGTATCTTATCTCCCTTGTTAGATTGTAAACTCCTTGAGGTCAGGGACTATTTTTTATCTCTTATTGTTTCCTTATCATTTAGCACAGTGCCTGGCACACATAGTAGGTGTTTAATAAATGACTGAATGATTAATGTATGGAAATGCTCTTTTTTTTGGTGTTTCAGTTTAAAATTTTTTTAATGAAAGAATTTAATAATTTTATTTCAGGGTTGTTCTTAAGCTTTAGTCTTTTCCCTTAGATCATGTCTGTACAGCATTCATTTTGACAGAGATTGAAGCATTGCATATGAATGTAGAATGTTGTTGTCTTAATATATAAATCAATCATTTACTTCACTTCTCTCTGATGAAAATGTTTCATTTGTACCAGCCTAGTTTTCTGTGTTGAGAATAGTAGGCTTTTTCCAAAAACATCTTCCTTCTATCCTACTATCAGCTCAGATTCAATATGTCAAAAACTAGGGTCATCATTTTATCTGCACCTTCCAAACTTCTTTATTCAGTGTTCCTATTTCTTTTCGTGATACCAGTACTTCTGCCAGTCTTACAGGCTGAAATTATCTTTGATTTTTAAAATTCCTTGTATTCAATTTGTCACCAAATGCTGTCATTTCTTCAAAAAAGTATCTCTGGTTCTTGGCTTTTTATTGTTTTCCATTGCCACCACCCTAGCACAGTCTTTAGCTTACTAAAACAACTTCCTGACTTGCCATCCTTCCCCAGTTTCTTGCCCACCATTCCATCTTTCACATTATTGTCCTACTTTTCTTCTTCCTTAAATATCCCTTCTATCATGTCTACCCTCTGTTAGCTCCCTAATCAACTTTGTGTGGCTTTTAGTTTCCTCCATAATTTGGACCTACTCTACCTCTTTAACCTCATTTTCCCAAGACATACTCTATTTCAGTCAAGCCACTTTACTTATTCCCATGTAGCTCATGTTCAATCCTGCCTTTCTTGTTGTTTTGTTTTTGGTGAGGCAGTCGGGGTTAAGTGACTTGCCCAGAGTCACATAGCTACTAAATGTCAAGTGTCTGGTCTGAGGCCAGATTTGAACTCAGGTCCTCCTGACTCCAGGCCCAGAGCTCTATCCACTGCGCCACCTAGCTGCCCCCAGTCCTGCCTTTCTTACATCAATACATATCATACATATGTCCCCCAAAGTTTTCCCTAGTTTGACTCCCACTCTTCTTTCCCTTATCTGAATTATCCTAATGTGATTATAAGCATATACGTGACATTGTCCAGACTTTGTATAATAATGGCATTAAACCATCATAACCAAATTCCACTGTAATGTTATCCTAAAATTCAAATGGCATAGAATTTTCCTCTTCTATCTGTCTTTGGGAAATCTTTGCCCTCTACCATCAGAGCAATGAGTAATACAAATAATAGCTGGTGTTTATATAGTGCTTTCAGCTTTTTGTGTGCCCTATGTAGTATGTAATTGGCATAGGGATGGAGTACGGGATTTGAGTCAAGAAGAACTGTGTTCAAATCTACTGTCTAATATGTGCTCTTTGCATGGACCCTGAGCAAGTCAATTATCCTCTCAAAGTTTCATTTACTTTTTCTGTAAATTAAAGATGTTGGACTAGTTAACCTCTAAAGACCCTTATAAGTCTAAATGTATAATAGATAAAAATAGCTAGCATTTATCCAGCTATTTAAAGTTTGCAAAGCACTTTATGAATATTATTTTATTTTATCCTTACAATAATCTTGGGAGATCCTTGCTATTATTATCTTCATTTTTAAATGAGGAAACTGACACAGGTACAGGTTGACTTGGCCATTGTCCAAGGCCAGATTTGAACTTACATCTTCCTGACTCTTTTTCCAGCCTTCTATCTACTCCAGCATAGAGTTGCCTATAATCCCATGATGTCTTTTGAGGCTATAATATGCTGTCAAGTAGGTATTTCATGTATTATTATCCCTGTCTTACTGAGGAGGAAACAGACTCGAAACGGTTTAATGACTCTAAGGTGGTCATACCCTCTCAATGTCGGGATTTTTGAACCAAGATCTACTGACTCCTAGGTTTAGCTATATGCCACACTGATATAGACTGGAGTAGTTTGATCAGGAGTCTTTAACATTTACATCAGTTAGAAAATTGCTGCTGGGAAAATCTAAATAAGCACCAGTGAATCACAGATATTAGCTCCTCTGAATAGAGAGTATTACCCTTTATCTACCCTCTTTGCATCTTTGCCCTTTTCATGCTTCAAGGTACCATGGGTACCTCCGAGGGCAAGGATGCAGGGAGAGAGCTTGCCAGCATTAAGAATTGCTCTTTTCTTCCAGGATGCCAGCCTTTAAGGATTTGGTTGAATATTTGAGTGTCAGAACTTGTTGTGTCCATGAAATAAGGGAAGAGTATAGAGTATAGTGCACTTGAGGTAGAAGGATCAGTATAAAAATCTTTCTCTCTGTCTCTCAGCTGAGATATATCCAAAATTAGTTTTAATCTTTTTATTGTGAATTTTGGCAATGCAGAAATGTAACTACTATTAACAATAGAGTTCACATAGCATTAAATGGAACCCACCACCTTAGGAAGTTTCATCTAATATTTTTTTTTTAAGCATAAGAGGGATGTGTTCATAACGTTAATATTACATAGTTTAGCACTTAATTTCCCCCCAATTATTTCAAGTATATTTTATTTCATATCCCTATCTTGAAACAGATATTAAGCTTCTCAGGGAAAGCAGCACACCATAAATTTCACTTATACTCTCGATAGCTCCTAGCCCACTGATGGGCATAATAGCCTAATGTGCTAGGTAGATAGCCTGTATTTTCAGTAGGGACTTGATGGCATCTCAGCTTTAACCATCTACCTCCTATCTCAGGAACACATGGAGATACAATTCAGTGCAATGGGCAAAATATTAAATAGAAACCAAATGAAGTAGAATGTTGTATAGGAGAATATGAAAGATGAGGGAAGGTAACATAAGCCAGGAATTAATAGACATAATTTGTAGATAGACATTTGGAAACTGTAATAGTATTTCCTTCTTCCTACTCCATTCAATTATCTTCATGGTTCTAACGAGTATTGATATTTTTTGCTTGTTGTGCTAGTATTAAATATATTAAGAACTCCACAGGGATTTTGAAAGAGGTGACCATAGTGACAGCATCTGTGATGTCACCTTTTACCAATGTATAAATTACACTTTATATGTAGAGTTTATTATCCAACATAGAATTCAGGCAATCAATATTTGGGACCAGTTGAGTGAGTTAAAGAGACCAATTAAAAAAGTCATAACTAAGAATGAACTATTTTACTATGGAATCTACCTGTCCTTCTTAAGTAAAACACAAATATGCAGGCATTTAAATATGTGTAGAAAACATGTTTGATCTCTGATTTTACCATTCATTTCCTAGGATCTTTAAATTATCCCACATAATAGTTTTGGAAGGATATACACACATATATGTATTTATGTGTATATGTATTTGTATATACACATGTATATATATACACATATACATATATTTGTGTGTGCATAATATATACCCATCTAGTCCTCATATTTCACTTCAGAGTTCCTTTAAAGATTTCTGTTCTGATTTTTTTTTTTTAATTGGTGAAAGGTAGAAGCAAATGAAGATAGGTTTTCCCAGTGTTGAGTATTTCTATGCATTGCCTCTATAATTGGGGATTGTAAAAATCTTAGGGGTAGGGTTTCACATGAACTCCTGTGTCCACTGGATTGAACTGAAAGGACTCCGTTGCTGTGTTGCTTCTTTTGAGTTTCCTTCCAATTTTGCAATGAACAAGGTATCTAGTCAACACATCTTATGTGAGTATATGGCTATAATAGCAGGGGGATTCCCAGACTTTAATTGAATGGAGTATGATAGAATAGTGGGTAGGAGATGGGCGATTAGTTGGTTAGGAGAACCATAATATTTTCCAGCCTTGATACTTCACAAACTAGCTTTGTGACCTAGGGTGAGTTACTTAACTTTTTTGGTCCTCATCTATCAAATAAGGAGGTTGAAATAGATGAACTCTTAGGTCTTTTCCAGCTTCTTTTGAATTTCAGTCATTTTAAAATTAATTTCTTTAGTATGTTATCCCCGAAATTCTTGTTTATTTTTGTTTCACAGTAACTATCTTATTAAATCATTTGTTCTTTCAAACAAAAAAAGTCCATGTTATGAAGTTTGTCCAAACTGCTTACATTTGGTTTTGGGGGTTGGAACACTGGTAATGACAGTATTAATCAAGTCACTTGGATAGGAAATATGTGAGAATATTCAGGGAAAATATAAGTTGAATGTAATTTACAAAAATCAACAACTGTGATCTATTAATTCTTAAAAATCAGCATTCTATAGCTGAACAAGGAGTATTTGGATTCAGTTTGAGTGAGTTTGAATTTACTTTTGTTCTTGAACTAATTAGTAATGGAAATTACCTGGGAATTCAGTACTCATATACCTCTCTCTGAGTTTATCCCTAGACTAAGAGATTGAAGCTTCAAAATGAATCCCAGTGGTAGTTCTTACAAGGAGAATAAAAAGCCATACATGCTTGATGGTTCAGGTACATGAGTTTTTAATATGTCACTGTTTTGCATTTCAGATTCAAAACGCTAATGATGTATTAATAGCCCCACTGGAGAAGTTTCGGAAAGAACAGATTGGTGCTGCAAAAGTAAGTACTGTTTCTTTTTGTTAGTCTGTACTTCTGTGGTTCTATTATTCTTCTTCAGCTATCTTGTGTTACTTGATAGATAACACAATGCCAGACGTTAATGCTTCTGAGAGTAGAATGACTACTTTAGCTATTTTGAACATTATCTTATTTTCTTGAAAAGAGGATTATGTTGTAAAAACAGGTGCTCTCAGCTCAAAACATTTTTCCGAGGAGTAGATTATAACTTATTTTTTCCTTTTGTACAAAATTCACTCTTCTAAAAGAGGAAAAAATGATATGACTTTTCATGTTTTAGGCTTCAAAGGATAGATTCCAGAGAAATCAGTCCCTATGCATGTTGAAAATCAGGCAGTAGTTTTAAGTGAGTAAAGTAAACCATTTTTAAAATTTTAAAGTTCTCTACAAATGCTTGGTACTGTACTTATTAATGTATCCTCTGCATTTCCATTCTATTTCCTTTTTACTAATGGAAATAATTTTTTGTAGGAATTTTGGGTTCATTTTCTATAGCTAGATTTCCTTAAACTATCTAAAGAAGAAATTCTATTTTTTTTGTTTCATTTTTATTGTGAAACTGGTTATGAAGAAGAGGAGTGACTTATGGGTGTTGAAGAGGCTCATGTAACTTTTATGAATAGAAATAGTATTAGAGATTGGACCTGTGATTTTATTCATATAGGGAATTCCCTGGTGAGTAACTTCCCTCTACCATTGCAGGTTGACATCTTCTCTATATCTTATCATCTTAGATTTAGGGCACTGAGAGGTTAATTGACTTCCACATGGTTATGTAACCAGTAAATGTTAGAGGAAGGACTTGAATCTAGTCTTTCCTGGCTTCAAGGACAACTCTGTCCACTATGCCACAGTTTCTGTGGGCCAAATAAAATTTTTGCTGCTTATTGATTTTTGGAAACTAGTCACTTTTCTTTTCAATTTTCTTTTATTTTTATTAAACAATTTATTTATTAATTTTTAGTTTTCAACATTCACTTCCATAAGATTTTGAGTTTTAAATTTTCTCCCCTTCCTACTTCTCCTCCCCCAAGACGGCATGCAGTCTGATATAAGCTCTACTTATATGTTTGTATTAAGCATATCTTCACATTAGTCATGATGTAAAGAAGAATTAGAACCAATGGGAAGAACCACAAGAAAGAAGAATCAAAACAAAACAACAAAAGAAAAGAAGAACAAATAGTATGCTTCCATCTGCGTTCAAGTTCCATAGTTCTTTCTCTGGATGAGGATAGCTTTAATATAAATCCTTCCAGTTTTTTTTTGAAGTCTGCCTGCTCACCATTTCTTGTAGCACAATAGTATTCCATTACATTTATATACCACAACTTGTTCAGCCATTCACCAACTGATGAGCATCCTCTCAATTTCCAATTCTTGGCTACCTCAAAAAGAGCTGCTATAAATATTTTTGTACATGTGGGTCCTTTTCCCATTTGTATCATCTCTTTGGGATACAGCCCCAGAAGTGCTGTTGCTGAATCAAAGAGTTTGCAGAGTTTTATAGCCCTTCAGGCATAGTTCCAAATTACTCTCCAGAATGGTTGGATCAGTTCACAACTCCGCCAACAATGCAATAGTGTTCCAATTTTCCCACATCTTCTCCAACATATCATTTTTCCTGTTTTCTCATGTTAGCCAATCTGATAGGTGTGATGTGGTGCTTCAGAGTTGTTTTGATTTGCGTTTCTCTAATCAATAGTGATTTAGAGCATTTTTTTATATGAGTATAGATAACTCCGAAAACTGCCTATTAATATCCGTTAACCATTGGGGAATGGCTTGTATTCTTATAAATTTGACTCAGTTCTCTATATATTTTAGAAATGAGGCCTTTATCAGAGACACTGGTTGTAAAAATTGTTTCCCAGCTTTCTCCTTCCCTTCTAATCTTCGTTGCATTGGCTTTGTGCAAAAGCCAATTTAATGTAATCAAAGCCATCCATTTTACATTTCGTAATGTTCTCTATCTCTTGTTTGGCCACAAATTCTTCCTTCTTCATAGATCTGATAGGTAAAGTATTCCTTGTTATCCTAGTTTGCTTATACTATCCATCTTTATATCTAAATCGTGTACCCATTTTGATTTTATCTTGGTGTAGGGTGTAAGATGTTAGTCAATGCCTAGTTTTTGCCATACTATTTTCCATTTTTTCCTAGCAATTTTTGTTAAATAATGAGATCTTATCCCAGAGGCTGGAGTCTTTGGATTTATCAAAAAGTAGATTATTATAATCATTGACTGTTAGTTGTGTCTTGCATACCTAGCCTATTCCACTGATCTACCACTCTATTTCTTAGCCAATATCAGGTAGTTTGTATGATTGCTGCTTTATAATACAATTTAAGATCTGGTACAACTGGGTCACCTTCTGTTGCTTTTCTTTTCATTAGTTCCCTTGATATTCTGGGCCTTTTGTTCTTCCAGATGAATTTTGTTACTGTGTTTTCTAGGTCTATAAAATATTTTTTGGTAGTTTGATTGGTATGGCACTGAACAAGTAAATTGATTTAGGAAGAATTGTCATTTTTATTATATTAGCTTAGCCTACCCATGAGCAACTGATATTTTTCCAATTATTTAGATCTGACTTTATTTGTGAAAAGTGTTTTGTAATTGTGTTCATATAGTTCTTGGGTTTGTTTTGGCAGGTAGGCTCCTAAACATTTTGTAATGTCTACAGTAACTTTAAATGGAATTTCTCTTTCTATCTTTTGCTGTTGGGCTTTGTTAGTAATATATAGAAATGCTGATGATTTATGTAGGTTTATTTTATATCCTGCAACTGTACTAAATTTGTTTATTATTTCAAATAATTTTTATTTGATTCTTTAGGGTTCTGTAAGTATACCATTATATCATCTGCAAAGAGTGATAGCTTTAAAATGGATAACTTTGATTACATTAAATTGAAAAGTTTTTGCACAAACAAAACCAATGCAACCAAGGTTAGAGGAAAAGTAAAAAATTGGGAAAGAATTTGTACAACCAATCTCTCTGATAAGGGCCTCATTTCTAAAATATATAGAGAATTAAGTCAAATTTATAAGAATACAAGTCATTCCCCAATTGATAAATGCTCAAAGGATATGAATAGGCAGTTCTCAGATGAAGAAATTAAAGCCATCTATAGTCATGAAAAAATGCTCTAAATCACTATTGATTAGAGAAATGCAAATCAAAACAACTCTGAGGTACCACATCACACCTATCAGATTGGCCAAGATGACAAAACAAGAAAATGATAAATGTTGGAGAAGATGTGGGAAAATTAGAACGTTAATGCATCGTTGGTGGAGTTATGAAATGATCCAGTCATTTTGGAGAGCAATTTGGAACTATGCCCAAAGGGCTATAAAAATGTGCATACCCTTTGACCCAGCAATAGCACTTCTAGGGCTATATCCCAAAGAGATCATACAAATGGGAAAAGGACCCACATGTACAAAAATAGTCATAGCAGCTCTTTTTGTGGTGGCCAAGAATTGGAAATTGAGGGAATGCCCATGAATTGGATAATGACTGAACAAGTTATAGCATATGATTGCAATGAAATACTGTTGTGCTATAAGAAATGATGAACAGGCTGACTTCAGAAAACCCTGGAAAGACTTGTATGGTCTGATGCTGAGCAAAGTGAGCAGAACCAGGAGAACATTGTACACAATAACAGCCACGTTTGTGCAATGACTAATATTGATAAACTTAACATGATCTAAGACATCTCCAAAGGCCTCGTGATAGAAAATGCTATCCACATCCAAAGAAAGAACTATGGAGTTTGAATGCAGATTATTTGCTATTTTTTTCTTCTATTGAGTTTTATTTCCTCTTTCTGGTGGTTCCTCCTATAATTCTTACTTACAACACCACTAATGTGAAAATATGTTTCATAGGAATGTGTATGTATAGCCTATGTCAGATTGCATGCCATCTTGAGGAGGGTGGTGGGGAGGGATGGGGAGAAAAATTTTAAACTCAAAAGCATATGGAAGTGATTATTGATAAATCAAAATAAATTAATTTTTAAAAAGAAAGAGTGATAGCTTGCTTTCTTCTTTGCCTATTCTAATTCCTTCAATGTCTTTTTCTTCTCATTGCCAAAGCTAACATTTCTAGTACCATATTGAATAACAGTGGTGAAAATGGACATCCTTGTTTCACCCCCGATCTTATTGGAAATGCTTCTAGCTTATCCCCATTATATATAATGTTTGCTGATGGCTTTAGATAAATTCTACCTGTCATTTTAAGGAATTCTCCATTTATTCCTATGCTTTTTAGTGTTTTTAATAGGAATGGGTGTTGTAATTTGTCAGAAGCTTTTCCTGCCTCTATTGAGATAATCATATGATTTCTGTTAGTTTTGTTGTTGATATGGACAATCATGCTGATAGTTTTCCTAATATTGAACCAGCCCTGCATTCCTGGTATAAATCCTAGGTGGTCAGTGTATTATCCTTGAGATAAGTTGCTGCAATCTCTTTGCTAATATTTTATTTAGAACTTTTGCATCTTATGTTCATCAGGGAAATTGGTCTATGGTTTTCTTTCTCTGTTTTGGCTCTTCCCAGTTTAGGTATCAGTACCATATTTGTATGATAAAAAGAATTTAGTAGGATTTCTTTTTCACCTGTTTTCCCAAAATAGTTTATATAGTATTGGTATTAGTTGTTCCTTAAACGTTTGGTAGAATTCACTTGTAAATCCATCTGACCCTGGAGATTTTTTTCTTAGGGAGTTCATTGATGGCTTGTTGTGTTCCTTTTTCTGAAATGGGGTTATTTCAGTATGTTATTTCCTCTTCCATTAATCTGGGCAATCTCTATTTTTATAAATACCCATTTCACTAAGATTGTCAAATGTATTGCCATGCAGTTGGACAAAGTAGCTCTTAATCATTGTTTTAATTTCCTCTTCACTGGTGGTGAATTCACCCTTTTCATTTTTGATGCTGGTAATTTGGCTTTCTTCTTTT